GGCGTTTAGTTTCTTTAACTATGACGAACAGAAAACCGTGCACAATCTTGGCAACACCTGATGCCGCTTACCAGGTTTGGAATTTCCCGTCTTCAAGTAATGAAAAACTCTGCCATATCCCAAATGTATGTAATCCATTAAAAACAACTTAAGCCGGGGAAATGGCATGAAAAACGGAAAACACATAAATATAACCGAGACGTTTCGAAGTAAGTCTCGCAACTTCACTTTCAAGCAAAAAAAGAGAGAAAAATTAAACAAGGCGGGGGGAAAACAAGGAAAAATGAGTCGTCGTTAACTGCTGTTCTGCCGTGCTAAGCGAGAACGCCGTAAGAGCCGTCAGCGTTGCCAAAATCTTGATAAAATAGGAATTTACTTGGAAATTTGAGAGTATTTTCCCAATCTTTCTGATACTTTTGTTTGCAATTCAATTTAAAATATCTGAAAATTTCAAGGAACAGTATGCATAACTTTCTCTCCCGATACATTATTTATTGGGGAAAATTTGGCAGCATTCGAAAGTTCTTACGCCGTTTTTCCTTAGCACGGCAGTGTTGTTGTGAGACTGAGACTAATTACCAACAGAGTAAACAAACCTGGTCCATAGCGTAGGGGAAATCAAGGTACATGTAGACACAGATCCCCATAAATTTTAAACTTCAATCACCAGCTTTTTCATGGAGAAAAAAATGATGATAACCATCATTTATCATCATCATCGTCATCATCATATCAAATCTATTTTAAATTGTTTAAACATTTGATAAATGAAGGAGTCAAGCTGGAAGGGCTCAATTGCATTGTTACGTTGGAAAATGTCACATAATTTTTTTAATTTTCCTTCAAGGAAGAAATTGTTTTTCTTTTAAGCTTTCCCTGAAACTCTCTGTGATTTTATAGTGATTCTTTAAAATGTCAAGTATGAAACTTACGCCTGCTAATGAATAAAGAAATAAGTTGTCAGGTACAAATAATGTTTCGCAACGCTCAAATGCAGTTAAGCCCCGCTGGCTCTAACCCTTCTGGATAGCTTTATCTTCGAATAAAAGTTTGAAAGTGATAAAAAACCATAGAGTACATGGTGTCGCACTGTAAATGGGAGAGCTAGCGCCACTTTTATAAGCGTTTTCCAGGTCCCGAATTCTGAGACACCTATGTCACGCCGCCGCGTCACTTTTTCGATTTGTAATAGATTGTTTTCGATACAAGGGGGCCCGGCCATCTGATGTAAAGAAAGAGGATAGGAATTCTACATTGCCATTTTGGATCGAAAATGTATCGAAGCTCGGCGCACACCGGGCTCGGAACTCGTCGACCAAAACATGGTGCCAGCTCTCCCACTTACATTACGACTCTATGCACTCTATGTAAAAAGCAAAATAGCGAGGGCAATTATACTATAAGTACTTGATTACAGCTATATAAATATTATTTCAGTAATAAGTATATCATCTTTATCAGATTTGCGATGAATAAAAAAAATATAAAAACAAGCGACGACTTGTTTCTCCCCCTTTGCGTCTCATTTTCAATTTGACTGTCTGAAAAAAAACAGTAACAACTTTGAAATGTCCTAGTTTTTCAAGTTCAGTTTTTTTCCGTTCTTAACCTAGATTCCCAATTTCAATCGATAGCTGATTACTGTTCGGTCCTGCAAGTCACTCATGATTCCCAGAATAATTATTCAAGTATGAGTGAAAAGTGAGTATGATTGTGGTGACAAATTTTTAACGTTGAATGTTCCTTTTTAAACCCAAATTAAATACCACTCCTTCCTGAAAACTAATTCCCTCCTTTTTGAAATATAATTAAATCCTTCTCCCGCTTGACATTGGAGGGAAGAAAAAATGTAAAGCCGCCACCTTGCACCGGCTGAGAGCCGGTTTGGAGCGGTTTTTTTTTGGCGACACGTCACAGATTGGTTCTAGACCAAAACAGTGAACATTAGCAATGCATTAGTCAGTCTTGTCATATCATCGCCTATTCTGCCGTGATAGCGAAGAGAACAGTAAGTGATGCTGGGATGAGTCGCGAGACACATAAAAGCATGCGCTAATCATGGCTCATGCAGAAATATGCACTTACTGCTGTCTTCGCTATCACGGCAGTATTGCTGGTTTGATAAGATGAGCTAAGCAGTTTTGAGTGTGTGTATTATGTACATTCAATTTTTATTTTCTTGTCCTCCCTAGAAAAGACCCGCATTTTGTAATTATCGTAACGCTAAGTGTATAACTGTGTGAAAATCGACATGTTCTATCAAAATGAACTGCCAATCTTTTAAACAAATTTAAAACAAAGGGTTGTTTCTTTGACGGGTGGAAACGAGGTTGCGAAACAATTCAAAACGCCCCGGTTATTTGCTTGATTTTTTTTTTTTTTTTGCGGATTATGTAACGATTTTTTGTTTTATATTAGAGATTTCAGGAACTTTTCGTCGTATTACAGAGAATATGTATACCAAATCTTGAAAGAAAATTTGCTCTTCGATTGTCCGAACTGACCGACCGCCACATTAGTTCGGATAATTTAAGGTTCACTTTGTGAATAGATTAATTAATTGATTAGCTGCTACAATAGCAAAGATTTATCAAAGTCTGGAGCTTTCAGTCAGGAATACTTGAAAATTTGAAATAATTAAGTACCAGCACAAGGCTCATTAAAAGTTTGAGATCGGATGAATTTTTTAAGTTGAATTGTAAGGATTGTACACTTAAATAAAAAGTATGTGGAATCTGGGCGTCGTCATGGAGAAATGCACATAAAATACTAATTTTACCAAGAGCAATTTTGATGCAACCCATTTTACCCTCCATAACTGTTAGAAAGCAGGAGACCGGGAGCTAGAAATTTAAACCATTTCAGTAAGACAGCGCCCATTTTCTTTTCCCGGCGTTGAAGTCTCCTCAGTCAGTTTTTCTCACTACAGTTTCACAAGTTCTAATCTGCGAAATTAATTGCAATATCTACAGAAAACGATGTAGCACTTGTCTCCTTTCCTTAAGGTCTCCATAGGCAGTTAATGTATCACTATAATTTTACAAGTTCAAATGTGCAAAATTCACTGTTGTACACACGGAGTGCGATACATCGCCTAAAAATTTGAAAAAATTGGCGGATTTCCGAAATAATTTTTCTTGAAAGTGAAGTTCGATATCTTTATACGTCATAGATAACATGGTCAAATGGAAATAAAATACAGCCCGTTTTTAAAATCTTCTCAGTTTATTAGCTTCTTTGACATTTTGGTGAATCTAGTCAATGCGGTTTTGAGTCCAATAGACGAAAAGTTGAAAAAATCAGACGCGACGTTTGACCATTAAAAGATTTTGGGTGGGTGTCTACGAAATCCAGGTTGCATCTACAATCGCCTCCAGTAATTTTCGTCGAGGATACCTCAATTTCCTCAATTCTATCGAACCGAATTCTATATTCTGTTTAAGTTCTCTCAAAAACTGCGTAAATTTGCAATATTTTACGATTTTGGTGAAGAATAATTGATCCGACGGTTGGTAGGTATCGCGTCAGACATGTTACACCATTTTTACCCTCCGCGCCTATTAGAAAGTTGGCGTCAGAAACTTTAAACTTTTTCAATAAAATAACAACATCCATTTTCTTTTCTTGGCGTTAAAGTCTCTCTAGTCAATCAAATATTTTACTACAATTTTGTATGTTCGAATCTGCGAAATTCACTGCAATATCAACAGAAAGCTATGCAGCGCCTCAGACCTCGATTTCCTCAGTTCTATCAATCAGAGTTATCTATTCTTTCCAAGTTTTCTCAAAAATTAAGTATGATTGCATGTTTTTCAACATTTTGGTGGAGAATAACTGACCTGACGGTTGGTAGGTATCGCTCGTCAGACAATAAACACCTCATCGACACAAAACCAATGGTGGACGGGTTTCACAATTGATAGGAAAATGGCAGTTGAACGCGATACGGCACTGTCCACTTGGGGTCTCACTTGGTGAATGAGCTCGGGTGCTGCCCAGCGGCTGGCTATCATCGATATTTTGTCCACCTCCGAGACTTTGCTGACGTGACTTCGGACACGAAGGAGGGGAAACATGTTTCAAGATCGCTTCGCTCCGGATTGAGTCAACCAACAAAGACACTTTTCTGGAATCAGCTCATTAAGTCATTTGACTGCACCGGAAAAAAACCATCTCGGTTGAACATCGATGGCTGAAGTTGAAAATGCGTATCTCTATCGCAGCGTTTAAAAAGCTCCCATCATTTTTCATTTTTTCAAAAGTGAAATCAACAAAAAACCTCCCTTAAATTACCCATGAATACTTAAGAATCAGTGAAGAAAATTCACAGAAAATTTCGAGAAAAACCATCGATAAGTTTTCTTTACATAAAATATGACCCATGAGCAGCAATTTGCAACGTCGCAGTCGGAGATCCGCATATTTCGACTTTGGTCATCGATACTATCGATAAAGCGCGACGCTAAAAATTGGGTGAAACATATGACGTATCACGTTTAACTTATATTTCACTTTTTTATCCAATCAAATTATTCTATTACTCGGGTGCACGCCTCCTGAATGCCTCGCGGTCAACCCCCGAAGCGCTTTGCACCTCAGGCGTTAGCACTACACGTTACTCTCATGAGTTTCAGTGGTGTGGCGTGAATTGCGATACATCGATTGTTATGCCGTTTAAACTCATGGTAAAGAATCGATTATTAAGGTGTTCGCTGCGAACACCCTGTTTATCGATCCTTTTCCATTGGTTTAAATGGCATAAGAATCGGAATATCGCGCAATTCACGCCACGCCACTAATGAGTTTTTACTATAGAGTAAGATGAGAGAAACTTTATCTCGCAAATAGTGCGTTTTAAGCGTGCGTCAAACAATAACTAAAATAACGGATCTCCTCTCAGGTTTCACCTACTGTTTTGACACCAACTCTGACCACAAGTGCTCAAGTACGAGTATCATTAAGTAGATACGGATTTCAAAAAAAAAATAGAAAGAAAATCGTGCGCTTATTGAAACACTTGATGTATTTGCTTAAACATAAGACACAATATGGCCAAAATTTACATAAAATAACAGAACACATAAATAAATAAATATTTAAATAAAATTAATTTATCAATTAAATACATCGGCTGACAGGAGTATAGACAAAAATATAGGGAGTCAAGCTGCTTGATATAGGCATGGGAAAGGAAATGTTCTTCGGGAATTCATCTGGTGTCTGTATGGATTTCAGATACCAGAGTTATGCGTTAAAAGAGCAATCATATCCTTGAAAAAAGATCTGGTTAGGGAGGAGTATTTAAGTCACATTAAAGGAACACTTCCACAATTTTTGTCCATTAAATAATTTTGAAAAGACGTGTGTTTAATTAATAGGCTCAAGTCCAACTCGCAATACTTTCCATATGCAAGACCTGGGCTGAAATTTTAGCCGTAAAACTTCATTTTACAGTGCGTTTGCGTCAAGAGGATGCAAAGGTTAAAAGTAGAAATCCCTACTTCTGGAGAAAAACGTGGATATGAGCTGAATAAATTGAATTCGATGCGGTTCAAAATCTACCCATGACTTCTGACCATAATACGCGGTCTTCGATGTAACATAGGCATAAATTAATGAGTATTACAATACAGCAAGCATCAAAAAGAGCATTGGGTCAAAGTGAGAATTTTAGTTTTTGAAGATACTTAAGCAGAACTAAAATAAAGATCAACGGTGTTCTGACGAATTGTTCAGCATAAATGTCTCTTTAAAGACGGTCAGATAATTCACTCAAAGCGTCCTTCTGTAGATCAATAATCTTAAAGTTAACATTGAACATTTAAACTTAACTAAAATAAATAAATTAATAGGAACATTGTTACGCTGGTAAGTGTGCAAGTATTTTCATTCATGGTGAAACTAAAAAAAAAAAAAAATAAATCCGCGTAGATTTCGGAGTCTCAATATATTTCTCTGAATATTATATTTTGCCAAGGGGATTCTTTGATTTGTATTATTTGTATTATTTTTTTAAAATTTCCAAAGTTTTGCATGAAATCCTCAGGAAATAATTTTATCAAGAAAAAGAACCTCAATTGAAGGGCTCGGAGGTCAAAGCGCATAAGTGCAGTCTCTGTCTCTGCTATTTCGAGAAATACGTGTTTAAATTTTTGAAATTACATGTATCCTTATGGCAAAAAGAAAGTTCAAAATGACTTTTTGGTACTAAAAAATTGGAATTTGGGAGGAAATTGTGCACAGAATTTGTATTAAGACTAGTTTTACTTGAAATCATAATAGTTCAATTTTTTCAAAAACTGCACTTATGCGCCTTGTCCTCCAAGCACCTCAATTAAAGGTTTAGGAAAAACCATAAGGCAAACTTTTTTTTTTTGTCTGAAAAGTGAACTAAAAGAGGAAAAACTGTACGACGTAAACATTTTGATTTAGACACCATTTTTTTTTAGTTTTTTTTTTTTTTTTTTTTTTTTTTTTTTTTTTTTTAGTTTTACCATTGTATTGTGGTACTAAGCAGTGTCAGATCGACGATATTATCATGTTACATTAGGGGTAAGAACACTAAGTGACTCAAAGATCCATGGAAGGTAATGTGAAACTCGCGTGTACACGCCCGGTTTGTTCTTTTTAGCACATCCGTCTCCCCACGAGACTATTCCCGTTAGCTCGAACCGTCCTGTGAACAAATAAAATATATTTTTAAAGATACCGACTCCTATCTACTTGAAATGAAGCAAACATTAAGAAGGATGTATAGGTTTCGGAAAAAGTAGGCGTTGGAGGTTAGGAACAAATAGGATTCAAGAAAATTGAAAGGAACATTTCAAAGCCTCCACCCGAACAAAGACTTCGCATGGTAAAATCTTACTTCCGAGTCATCACTGCCACTGTAGCTCAACAATAATTGTAGATGGTAGGCAGGTAGGGCTTTTTTTTGGACAAAAAAGAAGCGCAGTTTGACGAACTTCCAGTTATACTCGGCAAGCCGTTGAATGCGTCTTGAGATGAAATTGGTCGCAAGAGAAAATTTAATCTCCAGAAGTAAATTGAGCATGTTCCATTTACATTTCGTGGAAGGTTAGTGCAGCGTCGCGGATTCTTTTAATATTTTTTCTTCTCATTAAAACATGTATGACACCCCTTTGATACCAGTGCGTATTTGGTTAATTTTTTTTATTTTTATTTTAACGAAAGGGAATACACTGCTTTTGTTAGATACCTAAAAAAGTCTCAAGATTCCAAATGAAGTACTTGAAAAATGGAAATTAAATCCATACTAGGCGTAATCAGGGCTTGCTAGGATTGTGCATGATATCAATATCTGAAAAAAAAACCCAAATGCGTTTGTTTCAGGAACTTTTCATTAAGAAATTTCCCTTGATATTTGCTTTTGTAGATTTTGTATTCGCGCATGAGTTGAGATTGAATTAAATGAGAGAAACAGAGTTGCACAATCTTGGCAACACTACTTAGCATGCTTAGAATTTCCCTTTTTTCATTCTGCAAAATTATTTTCGCTCCGGTGAATTCTCGTCTCATAATTTATTATGCTCGATCGATAATACGAGTTTTTTTCGCTTTAATTCAGGAAGTACGCGTGTGCTTTGACGTTCTGTTCCTTTTCTTTGTAAGTGAGGTAAGACGAGGCGGCTGAGAGCTTGTCTGTGTTGGTTTGAGACTTCCTTCCGCGCGCTCGCGCCAAGCTTGTAATGCGGGTTGCATCTGAGCCAGCTTCGAAGGCGCTCCCTAGCCGTTGGTCTATAGTCGTTTAGTAAGTAGCAGAAGATTATCAGGTGTGCAGTCGGTTGAAAGTTTGGGGCGCATGCATACTTTAATGTATTTTAAAGGCTTAAGTTTTAGGAATGTTTTTTATATAAACTTCTGTATAGTTAAACCCCAAACATAAATTTATCTAAGATCTTCAATAGTTCCGTACTTCCTGAGATGTGGATTGGTCCGTTTTTTGGTTGGACTCTGCCCACAATTTAGGAAATTTTGGGATTACTCTACTGGATATTTGATCAAAACAGATGATTATTTGTTCGATTGCTTTTACTTAAACGATATAGAGTCGTTTCAAAATCATACGAGTGAAATCCAACAATTAAATGAACGGGAATTTATCTATGGTTGAACGCATTTGTTGGCCACTTGCCCATCGGTGGACTTCAATGACGAATCTAATTGAATTTTAACGCTCTGACGTCAATCTAAAGATTGATTTGGCGTTCAATTGGCCACAATGACGTCACATCAAGAGTCTATTGACGCTTCTTTCATTTGACTTGCTTGCGCACATTCATATCGAAGGTGAAACTACAAAAGATATTCTTAATCTCATTTTGCTGTATTATACAACTTTCTTTTTGACTCCCCCTACCCGCCTCCGTTCTCCCATGTCAAGTACATGTTAGGCAGCATAGAGATATCGTTTCTAAAAATTGCGTCGGGTTTGCATTAACCTTCCCCTACCCTCACATCCCTAACAAAAAAAAGCTGCGCTCCTTGCTCTTTTTGCCCGGGATTTTCTTAAAAATGGGCACTTATTGGTCAGGTTCGGCTAGACTCATCTTCCCCACGTCGTCAGGTGCGTATTAGGCACCCCTTGAACCCGCCCTTCCCGTGTTGTCATTCGTGGATGATCTTCAACCACAACTTCTTATTTGGAGATATTTCTCAATCGAAAACTCATTAATCAAATTTTGACTGAAAAAAAAAATGACTAGACCAGAAAAAAATCGCTATTTAAAAAAAATGTATCCGTGGACTACCCAAGTAGCACTTTTCAACGGAAAAATTGCGATATTTTGAAGTATTAAGTTGCGATTTTTCTGCGATTTTTTGGCGATAAAATTGATAGGATCATCAACATCTGAAAATCATTATCCTCAATCTTATCGCAATACTATCACTCAAAATCGCGTTCGAAATGAAATCGAAATATTAACTTAATTTATCACGATTTTTTGTTCGATAATGTTGCGATAAATCGCCGTAGATGCAAAATCGCGATTATATTGCAAATTCAGGCGATGAAATCGCAATTTTTTATCCGATAATATTGCAATAAAGTGACGTTGATAAAATCGCGATACATTCTCCGATCCAATTGTAACTTTTCGCGATTATTGTTCTTGGGTATGGTTCCTTTTCTCATTCTGCCGTGCCAAGTAAGAACACCGTACGAACCTTCAGGCGTTGCCAATTTTCCTTCGGTAAATCAAAAATTTCCGGAAGAATTTATAAGTATTTTTTATCCAATTTTTCAGATAATTTTGTTTGCAGTTTCACCTGAAGTTCCTGAAAATTTTAATGAAAAATATTCGTAGCTTTCCTAAAAAATGAGCATTTGTTCGAAGGAAATTTGGCAACTCTTGGATGTTCATACGGCGTTTTTCCTTAGCACGGCAGCATTGACGGTTACGCTTCAAAGGATTCTGTGCTTACCAGCAACTTGACACGCGAGAGGTCCTCCAGAATCTCCACCGCATGCGTCAACCCCGCCGTCCAAGAGGCCGGCACAGAGCATACTGTCCAAAATTTTTTGTCGACTTCCGTATACATTCGACGCGCGGCATGTTGCTAAGTCCAGGAGAGGCACAGACGCCGCACGGAGCTCCGGCGACAGGCTCCCGAGATCCTCCGCTGTCGGGACCAAACAAAAAAAAATTATTATTAATTCAATGAAAAAAAAAAAGTCGGAAAAGCGGAACGAGGTCGTTCGGTAAACGGAAAAAACCGCCGATTGGATGCGTGCATGCCAAAAAAAAAAAAAAAACAGTGACAACTTAGTCTTGGCAATGGCAAATAATAATTGGAGTACATTTTGCAAGAAGGAACCAGGAGCATTGCAATGTTGCTAAGATTGTGCAACTCCTTTTGTCTCAGAAGAAAAACCTGATTATCAATTGACAGTTTCTATTTGATTCTCTAAAAACTGTGAATTTAAGATAAAAATCACCATGTAAATTTTATATTTTTTCATGATAGCAATAATTTTATTGAAAAAGATGAAGTTGCACAATCTTAGCATCATTGCAATGCTTCTGGTTCCTTTTCGCAAAATGCAATCCAATTGCGATTTCACCTATTTACACTGATATCCCCGTTGGAATGATATCTTACAGTATGTTTTTATAGTTTTTTTTTTATAATTTTATAATTGAGTACATAAGTAGCACAATTGCATGACGATTTGTCATGTTTCTTTTCATTGCACATGCTCACCGGTGTCAATGAGCGTATTTATGCTAAGAGGTACGACGCGCAAATAAATAAAAGCAAAAAGAACTAAGGAGCAGGCAAATTCCATGCACATAGCTCCTTTTGATTTAATTTACATGCATATCGATCGTTTTTGCATAAACGGTTGTTGACTCCGGTAGCATGTACAAAGAAAATAAAAATGACGAAATGTCATGTATTGGTGTTACACATACGCAAAAATTATAAAATTATAACAACTATACAAACATACTGTAAGATATCATTCCAGCGGAATATCAATATAAATGGGTGAAAACGCAATTATTATTTGTCATTGCCAAGACTGGTTCGTTGATTTTTCATGCAATTTTATTTTATTCTGTTAATTTCCGACCCTGAGGCTTAATTTTTTGTTTAGTTTCATTTTCTTCTGCCTTGTCTCCTTGAATATGCTGTTAATTTAATTTTTTTGAACTTTGTCGTATTCTTATGTTTAATTAACCTCTAATAATGGCCTTCGGGTTGGAAACATTTTGATCTTCTAATTATATTTTCTTAGGAAATCTTAACAGGATCCTTCGTCTTTTTCATTTCATTTAAATTGGTGTGTTAAGGTACACTGTATTGTTGTGAATATATATTGACAAAGTACATCAGTAGAAAAATTCGCAATCTACTGATGCAGGCTTTCAATCATCATTCTATTTTATACCCACTGAATAATCGTATAGAAAAGTTACAATATCCATAACCTACGTTTTTGAGCGCCCCATCCTGTAACAGTACACCAATCTCCAGTTTCTGCTCTTTTAGCTTGAATCCCGGGCAGGCAAATGGGTTGAATGTATGTATTGAAACCAATTCCTCCTTCACTTATTGCTTTTACTTTGATTAGTGCAATGTCATTGCTATGTGGTCCCTCTGGAAAAGACATAAATATATGAAAAAAATATATTAGACGTTTAATTCACGAAAATAGGACTTATTCAAGTCTTCTTTATTAACTTAAGGCTTTTTCTGTGCAGGCATCCGTAAGGGCAAAGAGAATAGAAGGGGACGGCATTTTTTTTCACTCCATTTTTGCCTACATTTTTTCTTTGACGTTCAATGAATTTATTGCCATTTTAAAATAATTGACTTACCATGTTTGCGTTTTTTTAACTTCAGGTGAATTGTTCATACATTTGCAGTCCATTAACCAACAGTTAAAAGTGATGTATTAGGTATTTTGAAACAATGTTGAAAAGGTTTTTGATAATTTCGAGTGGAATGTTGTACAAATAGGCAATTCATTAAAAACTAGTGGCCTTTGCGGCCGTCAACTATTGGAGGAAAATTATTTTTCAACAATTTCACCGAGGGCTATATCACCCCCCCCCCCCCCGNNNCCCCCCCCCCTCCCGATTCATCAACCCCTCACGAAAGAACGTAACTACATTTCAATGTTGACAAATTTCCTATTGAAAATCGCATTTTTACCAGTAGAATCTTGGGCATTTTTAACTGAAATTTTATTTGAAAATCAGAAAAACTTGGACAAAACTTGCACAGGTACCCTCTACACTGGAAAAAAACCACATTGGATCTAGAGTCCAGAATCTTGAAATCATTGACAAGAAAAAGGACTCTTGATTCAATCAGATTTAAGCTTAAATCAAAAGGAAATCCGCTCAAATTAAGAGGCTTGGTTCTTAATTTAAGCTTGAATCTGATTGAATCAAGAGTATTTTTTCTTGTCGATGTTTTTAAGTGTCTGGACTCTAGATCCAATTTGTTTTTTTTCCCAGTGTGGTAAAAAATTAAATTGTTTAAATGAATTTTGCAACCTTGGAATGAAGTTACGTTCCTTCGTCCGGAAACCAACGAACATGCCAGTGCTCTCAATACATGACCGTCAAAAGTTCCGGAATTCGGACTTTTTTTATTTCAATTTCTCCCATTCTATAACCGTCAAAAGTTCCGGAATTCTCGTTAGGTTTTTTCGAAAGTTCCGAAACAGCTCCAAAAAATGCAAAAGATCCGGACCCTCTCGATATTTTCAACAGTTCCGAGAAAAATTCGGGAAAATTTCGAAAGTTCCGCAATTCGAACCTAATTCTGGGAAATGGAAGCACAGGAACCAGTGGCGTGGCGTGAATTGCGATAAATAGATTGTTATGCCATTTTCCTATGGCAAAGAATCGATTATTAAGGCGTTCGCTGCGAACACCCTGTTTATCGATCCTTTTCCATAGGTTTAAATAGCATAACAATCGATATATCGCAAAGCACGTCACGCCACTGACAGGAACATGCAGTGTCTGAATCTTGATAGAAAGTCTGCGGACGAATAGCTGAATGAACATACCTCGCCTGAATTCAGGATGGACGATGACTTTTTCTACACGGTAGGTACGCTCGTGCGAGTCTGAGCCGGACAAGTGGTGTTTGCCGACGACCATTCGTAGCTGAGACTTTTTCAAATCTCGCAAACAGTGAGCTGCTGTCATAATGACTCTGTCTCCCACAACTGCTCCTCCGCATAAGTGCTCGAACGTCTGTGAAAGACCGTTGAATGATTGAATATCGACCTGCAATTTAAAAAGTATCGATATCAGAACCTTCAAGAATTCGTTGACTGATCTGAAACTATTTTATACGTTCGGACGTTTTTCGTGATTGTGGTGGGTACATATCGACGGTGTAAAGCCCTGAATATATGATCAATTTCCGAACCAATTCCGATCAAAGTAGACATGCTGATGACTGATGGTCACCATCTACCATCAAATTTTGACGGGCCGCACTATTTTGTTCGAAGTAAGATCAGAATGGAGTGCCACCATTCATCATTTCCTGCCTCAGGTAACATTTCTGCCAAGTTTTCATTTTGAAATTAAGGAAATTAATGAGTTTAAGACTGATGACTCCCGACACTTTGATGGTAATTGGTTCGGGAATTTGATCGTCTATCGAGGCCTTAAGTCCGCAATCACATATTTCGTTTGCGATGTCTGAAAATCTTCACGTCTGTGTTATTTTTTTAAAGGAAAACAAATTTACATCATTCCATGAAGTTTTTGCAGAATTTTTTTCGCACAGAGAAGAAAAATCACGGCAGTTTTAGAGAATTGACGTTGAGTAGTTTTCCGTTTAAAAAATAAAGTATGACACGAAGTCTGCGACATCGGAAACCGAGTTACGTGATTGCCGACTTACACCGTCGGTATGGAAATTAATTGCATGAGATTAAGACAGGTAGCTCTCATTTTTCCATGTCATCGTGGTGTTTTAATTAAACGACCTTACACAATGAAATTGCAGGTCAAGTAAGAGAGGAATACGAGGGATGGACCTCCCCTCCTCTATGTCTCTCTTGATTATTTAAGTTCATTGACTGGCTTTGTCTAATACAGTGGACATTGATTTTCAAAAATTCTCAAGGGTGCAGAAAATTTCCGACTAACTTGATCAAAGTGACAAATTCATCATGGAGACAAAAACTAACGATAGGGACCTTAAAATTGGATCAGAAGCTGCCCCGCACTTTTGGGCACGAACATAAACAGATGCATTTCAGCTAATTCGGAAAAACGAAAAAATGACAATTTTGAAGAAATCGTAGTTGATTCCCGAATTGTAAGAATGAAAGCGCTGCTCATGACAGAGGTCTTTGGAGACATGTTACGTTGAATAACAAAACTAATCATAACAATTCCTTTGATTTAACTTGATTGTCAAGTACCCAAAATGAATGTCAATTGTAAAGGACAAAGCCTGTGAACGGGTTAAGTTAACGACACCGGAAGAATGAGAATCAACCACTTACGTTAAAGACACGAGTTGCTGCTAGATTTATAAACCGGAGATTACTTTTTTCATGTATGATCCTTACCTGCCATGGATATGCACCGTAAGGCACTGTTGATCCACCGATAATCTTAGGGGTCGCACCACCAGATCGGTGAGGGTAGTGTGGAACTGCTCTCACTCCACACTCCATCTGAGAGTAATAGGGAAATTTAGGTTGACCACCACTTCTTCTCGTCCGGTTTTCTGAAATAAATAAAACTTATTAAATGAATAATAACCCCTGAAAAAAATCGATTACATTCTTATTGCATTTTTGCATGAAATGTGTGTAATAACGTGCAACCAGGATTGTCTTTCTTATCATAAAACCTATAGTAATTCATTCAAATCTAAGTTCATTTTTAAGTTGAAATTTTTTAGATAGAGGAAATTCAAAAAATGGCAACTTTTTTGGTTTTGTTTGGATGGCAATACTTCCTCTACCCGCAAGGGGAGCGAGAAATTAAAACCATGCCTGCCTTCTTTGCACCAAAGTCGTGTGACTTTCTCAACTTTCACACAAAAAAAAAAGTTGAGCAAGAAAACATGTATGCCTCTTTAAACCAGGGCGATTAGAATTGTTCAACATGTAATAAAACACTGAGATTCATTTTATTCTTAGTTTTCTGCAAGTAATGAGTGTTACATGTTTTCAGTAAATCCTGCAGTGATCAAATCCCCAATCCCAAAACCCCAGCTAACGCAAAATGAACCTTAGTCAATCATACGTTTATACCCATGCGTTAAAGTCTCTTAACACTTGTGGTAACACTGCACTGCTCGCCTAAATGCGTACAGAACACTCGATCTTTCAACGTGAATTAACATTCTGTCTGCTTTTCCAAAGCGCATTTTTCCACTTAGATATCCATTTATAAAATTATTTTCCTTACCCTCTGTTGCAGGGAATGGAAATCCATAGACACTGAAAGCAGAGATTGAAATAAGGAAGATGATCAATTCTGCAACCATTTTGTTGTTTCTATATATTTTATTGATAATGTTGTGATTGCTGCTGCTGTGTCTCTTTTGTTGCTGTTATCACTGATGCTGTTGTCTCCTTTGCTGACATACCTGAACATACAATGAAAAAAATCCATTAAAATTTACACTTTTCCATGAGCTCCTTCTCAATGTAATTTTCAACGTCATTGGGATTCTATCACGCACATCATTTTCACATTACTTTTGACAGAGGAACATATCTCCACCACTGCCACTGGTATCACCATAAGTACTTAATTGGTGACGTCATTCGCTAAATTAATCATGCCTTCGTTGACGTCACACATATTTCCGCCAAATCTGAAGGCAGGACGAATTATTTTTTTCGACCGATCCGTGAACGAACAGAGTGCCAAAATGAGTCAGCGCTAGCTTTTCAATGGAAATCTGGTTGTAGTTCAGTGGCGTTTTATGGCCTAAAGTGCAGATTAAGCAATAGTGGCGTGAAGGGAGTGAATCAGGCAAGCCAACTGCGATTTATGCCTTCAATTTTTAAGGTAGGCGAGAAAACATACTTCATGGTGCAAATAGTTATCTATTCAATGAGGTGCATCTTGCCTAGTCTTAAATCCTGCTTCGCAGTTCATGGTGTGAAAATCCATCTGAAGATTTTGATGTAAGCTCTTTTTTTGGTTCAAGGCTCCGTAATTGTTAAAATACTTGTAAATGATCGTTTCAAAAATAATAATTCACTTCGGAATCTGGCCCTTATGGTAAACAGCACTTCTCTAGAGTATACACAGTGAATACCTCACTAAAAATGACCATGTTGGTAACCTGTTGAGATCGCATGTTCTCATCACGGGCCATTTGGGTGACTTGCTCGAAAGAACACGTAACAACATAAAAATCAACTTGGTCAAAGAGACCTAAATAACCAGTATGTTAACGTGTTGGTCCCATCAGGATAACATACTTATCTCATAGGTAATGGTACTAAGCAAAGTGATGAAATGGCGTCAATTGGGCTACATATTTCACTTATCGAAATGGTTTATTTTAGCAGGGCAGCACTGACCTGTTCATTTAAAAATAAGCATAATATGGGGAGAGCACGCCGAAAGGGATCCGCGGTGACACACTTGGGACGGACTCACATCGCCGTCGGAAATGCTGTCTCCGAGGTCGGAATCCAAACAAGTGACTAATTGTTATTATAGGGCAAAGTAGAAGGTGAGAGGATCGAGGTGGAAAGATTCGGACTATGTGGAAACAGATCTCGTTGCATACTGTCGTCCTAAGGAAAAACGCCGTATGAGCCTTCAAACGTTGCCACACCTCCATCGAAAAAGCAAGAATTTTGGGGAAACTTTGTGAGTACTTTTCGTCAACATTTTCAGAGAATTTTACTCGTAATGGAGAATTTGCACGAGAAAGTATCGCTTCATCTGAGAAAGTTCATGAGCTCAATTCGCAGTATTTTTCATATTTTTTCTGAGATGGAAATCTGTAGGATTATCGATTTGAAAGTGAGCAAATGTGTCACCTTGTGACGTCATCCGGCGGCATTTCTCATTTGAACACATGTATACTGGCAGACTAGGTTTTTTGTCATATTCCCTTCAACAATTGTTCAATATAGAAACCAAGGATATCACCGTGCTCAGTTCTCTTAGAAGTTTTATCTCAAACATGAAATTCGCCAAATTTCAGATACCTGCAACTTATCCATTTGGACCGCGTTGAGTAGATAGGAACCAAGCCAGATCAGATTTTGCCAAATTCAATTGGGCAATTTAATGTTTTACATCAAATCGGTTGTGCGGATTTTTGTGAAAATTTCAGTGAATTTTCTGCATAGTAGAAAGCATATTCCTCAACATTTTCAAAGGAATCCTCGCAGAGGTTCTCTTGTAAAAAATTAAATTGCCCGGTTTTTGGCAAAAGCTGATTTAGCTTATTTCCTTTCTGTTAAACTAGGTCCATTTGATCTAAAGTGTTTTTGAATCGTAAATAAGAATATTCATAACTTTTCTTTAAAAATCGGCATTTTTAGAGAGTAAATTTGGCAACATTTGGCGTTGCATATGGTGTTTTCCCTTAGCACGGGAGCATAGTTCTCAGGCGCGAGGCTGGGGCCACTGGCAGAGGTGGCAGATTCTCTTGGCAGGAGGCGGCGACCGCAACGGTTCTCCACATAATTTCACGAAGATGAGCTCGCACGTTGTCGCAGTCGCATCCCTCCCCGAGGAAGAGGAAGATAATACGACGTTTTTATGCTAAAAGGAACTATGTTGCACGCTAACCCTATGTACATAGTTCCTTTTAGCATGAAGACGTCCAATAGGAATGCGTTTCAAGTGTATTGTTTCACACTTGCGTCCCCCACCTCGACCCATTTGCTAATTTCATAGCCGCGTCCACGACCCTGACCCTACCCACGCCAATGTCATTGCCAATGCCAACGCAGGACCACTCATCGAAATTCCAGGGCTCCGGGTGAATTTCGCCACGATGACTCTCTTTTTTCGTATCTTGGAGGAAACTCACGCACTGAAAAAAAATTCTCGGCGTTTTTATCAAGGTCCGTTGGTACCTTTACCATCTCACTTTTTTCACCAATTATTGGTAATTTTACCAAGACTGACTGGTAAGCTTACCTAAAAACCGGTATTTTCACTGTTTTTCTCAGGTAAGAATACCACTTTTATTGGCAATCAATTCCCGGTAACTTTGCCATTTTATCTCGGTGATTCTACCACAGTCGATAAAAAATATTGGCGTTTTTACCGGGGTTCAGTAAAATTACCAAGAAAGTCAATAATTTTACCCATAAATGATAATTTTACAAAGAAAAAACTGGGATCAAATAGAACCCTGAATTATTGGTAATTTTACCCTTTTCTTATTAAATACACCGAGATTTTTTTTTCAGTGCGTTCGCGGTGTTTGTGACCTAATTCTATGTTCCTTGAAATGTTGGTGCTTAGAGTGAAGTCCAGGCTCACAGAAAGCGTTCAAAGTCGAGGCCGGAAAGGTGACCTCTGCATACACCCGGAACACCAAGGGCCGTTTGAATTGGCATGTAGTTTTATAAAGAGTCGAAATTCGGAGTCTGATAGACGCCATTTTTATTGCTAAGACTGAATGACTCTTTTTTGCTTACCATCGCTGATAACGTAATTTATTGACGCTCATCCACGACCCGTGGGTCTTATCCCCATGAGACGATTCCGTGGGATTTTTTTCAAGTTCGAATCGCAGGAATGAAACTTCGGGGATTTTTCCCAGTTATACCATCTCCACCGGACGGGGCTCAATTTTGCGCGGGAAGATAAGTTAGTAAAAATCGAGAATTTAACCGGGATGAAAAAAATAATTGGACACGATTGACAATTAAGACACATTATTTTAACTGAACAATCAGGAACAATGGAGGAAACAACGAAATATCGTACAGTTCGCTTTCATTTCTTCTTCTCTCTCAATTGCTCTTATTGTTACGGTTAAAGGAACCATACTTGGTACTGGGAGATATATTGATCGATTCAATAACTCAATATTTTTCCCGACTTCGTAAGTGGGATTTTTCTCTGAGACAAATCCCGTGAAACGGCCCGTGGAGACAAGGCCTAATGGGTCAATGTTGAGAGAGGAATGCTAATGTATTTACTTTCCAGTGTGCAAGAGTATACCATTATCGAGGTTTACATGGAAGTGTAAATACAATTGTATTGAAAGCCCTCCGATGCTCCCTAAAAGTATGCAAAACCCATAGTGGATACGTCTCTTTTACATTAAGTAGAACCGCTCAATGACTCGTGAGAAATACGAATTTAAACTCATCGGAGAATTCAAGACCAAAAGCTTTTCTTCCTGAGATTGGTCCAACCACCCAAAGCATTTCACGCCTCAGGCGCCATGCCTTTACGCGTTACTCTATGCTTTTTTATCATAAGTATGATATGTGTACTGTATTCCGTCTCGGTTATGCGCTTATTTTCCTACTTTTGCGTTAAAGTCTCCGTTGAAAATGAAAGGATTTGATTGTCACGATGCTCGATTCAGTTTTCCAGCTATAACATTCCAGGAAATCATTCATACTATAGAGATCTGGGTCAATTTGAGGAAAATAGGAAACTGATTAAAATCGCAGCACTCCCTAGAAAAAGTGGCAAAACTAGAATTAGATGATGAGGTAAATGGGACTCGAATCTAAAGACTTTTTTATCATAAAGTATGATGTGTGTGCTGTATTCCGTTTCGGTTATGCGCTTTTTTTCCTACTTTTGCGATGAAGTCTCCGTTGAAAATGAAAGGATTTGATTGTCACGATGCTCGATTCAGTTTTCCAGCTATAACATTCCAGGAAATCATTCATACTATAGAGATCTGGGTCAATTTGAGGAAAATAGGAAACTGATTAAAATCGCAGCACTCCCTAGAAAAAGTGGCAAAACTAGAATTAGATGATGAGGTAAATGGGACTCGAATCTAAAGACTTTTTTATCATAAAGTATGATGTGTGTGCTGTATTCCGTCTCGGTTATGCGCTTATTTTCCTACTTTTGCGTTAAAGTCTCCGTTGAAAATGAAAGGATTTGATTGTCACGATGCTCGATTCAGTTTTCCAGCTATAACATTCCAGGAAATCATTCATACTATAGAGATCTGGGTCAATTTGAGGAAAATAGGAAACTGATTAAAATCGCAGCACTCCCTAGAAAAAGTGGCAAAACTAGAATTAGATAATGAGGTAAATGGGACTCGAATCTAAAGACTATTTTATCATAAAGTATGATATGTGTGCTGTATTCCGTTTCGGTTATGCGCTTTTTTCCTACTTTTGCGATGAAGTCTCCGTTGAAAATGAAAGGATTTGATTGTCACGATGCTCGACTCAGTTTTCCAGCTATAACATTCCAGGCAATCATTGATACTATATAGGTCTGGGTCAATTTGAGGAAAATAGGAAACTGATTGAAATCGCAACACTCCCCAGAAAAAGTGGCAAAACTAGAATTAGATGATGAGGCAAATGGGACTCGAATCTAAAGACTTTTTTGGTAGAAGCGGATTGAGACTGATTCAGTGCTCATCTCGCCTCTCTCTATTTGTCTCTATTTGTCTCTGTTTGTCTCTGTTTGTCTCTATTATTCATCCCCATCCCGTGATAAAGATTCGTACACATTAGAATTTTAGAAGCACATTTTTTAAAGGACAGAATCGCGTAAAGGCAAGTTTTACAGGTTATCACAATGATTTGTGTAACTTTTAGCTCCAAACCAGCTTTCTTGAAACAGTTCTGCATTCACTGCGATTATTCAGAAGAATATTGAGTTTTAAGTAACATATAACAACTTAATTATTTGATAAGTAACGTTCTTCTGTTGTACCGAGATGCATTGAACCTTCAATATGTAAAGGGTATTTACGTAGGCAGCATAGATTTCAAATGAAAGGAAAAAGATATTAGAAAGAAAGAGAACGAAATTTTGTCTCTGTCCCTCCTCTTACTGCGCAGGCGATTAAAATATTTCTTTTACGTCACATGTCTGTATCCATTTTAGCGATGCGCAAAAAGTAAAATGGATCTTAAGAGAGAAAAGGCTAGAATTCGACCACGATGGTGGCTATTTGAGGGAATTGTTCATGTCTTGATTCAAATTTAAGAATTATTTTTAAATTTTAGAAGTCAAGTTGACAATGAAGTTACTTAACAGTGATAAGTAATAAATAAATAAAAAAAAAACCGAAAGTTTAAAAGTTTGACTCTAAGGTGCTTTGTCGTTTGATCTATTGAAACATTTTTGTCAACTGGTTTATGAAAAACGCTATATACACTTGTAATCACCAAAAAATTTGTATGGGCTCATGGTCAGAATTAATAACATTCATTATTTTTTGGAATATGGTAGTCGGTTTCGTAACTTTTTAGATCTACGAGTCATTCAGTTTAGTAAGAAAAGTAGTAAAATTTATTTTTAATCGAAATTGCTCCTTTCATGAGACGGACTGTTACCTCCAATTTTCACTTCCTTAAAAATACTTTGGGTTGGAATAAAAATAAAGTAAATTTGTTTGAATTTTTCCATAAAAATTACAAATTTGAATACCTATTGAATGGTTTGGTTAAGTTGCAGAGATGTATTCTGGCATGGTATCTACAGACTTCTATAGTGCTTTTACAAGGCTGTCATTTCAGATACCTAGATTGTCAGCTTCAAGTAAGGCACGGCTTGTTCAGTTGTTCGTTCTCGATAATTTTTGCTAAGAAAAATTGAAAGTTTTTCATCTTCTTTTTTTCTTTTAATGCGAAGATTGCCACTTCCCGTGTGCTTATTTCAAATAAAGCGAGAATCCCAATTCTAAACTGCACAGTTTCTAACTGACACTCGCGATGGCTCAAAATTTAGTAAACACAAGTTTTTTTTAAAAAAGAAATTTTTAAATTTTTTTTTTTAATTCAATTATTTTTTAGCATCCATAAAACCTAAGTGAGGGAGAAGAGGGAGAAAACGACTCTCTGATGGTCGTCACCACGACAGCGCTATGTGACTAGTGAATCTAATAGAGACGCAATTGAATCAAGATGACGCACGAGGAAGAAATGCAGGACCAGGAGTAAGGAAGAGGAGATCCTGACGTAAGACGTCGGGCGGAAAAATGCAGGAAACGACTCGACTTACGTTCGACGGAGCGGTCGGCGAGACGGGAAGAAAATGAAGAAAGTCGATTGGGTCGTTGAGCTGGCGATGAGCGGGAAACGGATGCTATCCCGAGATGCGCGAGGATCACACCACTGCACCAAGAGCACTAGAGAGACACAACAGAGACACACAAGCACATGATGAAAACACGTGACTGGTGCTTAATGGACGAGTAAAAGCTTTTTATACTAGGAGCTGGATAATGGCCTAGATTCGGCTGCAATTGTTACGAAAGCCATATGCGATATCACTCCTGCTGCAACGCCAAAACGAATTTTCGTCGGTAGCATACGGGAAGGCTGGGAGACCTTGCATAACTGGCGTCATTTTGAATCAGGTCACCTGTGTTAGTAAACATTGGGAGATAAGGCTTAATTTAACCCACTCGCGTTTTAATTATCGGAGGAATTTTATCGGAACCGAAACAGCGCCTTCCCGCGTTCCCTATCCTTGATTACTGTTATTTTTTTGCGAATCCAATGTTTACATGCATATGCAGATTCGGCTAGACGACGGAGAAGGAGAGATGACGCAGTTATCCAATGATCCACTTTTCCTAGTTTTACATTAGCAAGGTTGAGGTTGCGCAGTAAAATGAGCGATGCGCAGTTGTGACGGATAGATAAGTTTTCTCCGCAGCCTTGCGCCGCATCTATTGGCCGTGCTCGTCAGCCATGGTCCCGTTTCAATTTGCAGCCGCTTTCCACGTGGTCACCACTCAACGCATTGTACGCTCTCCGAACTTGCAATTTTCCGCCCAAAATTTGGCGTTGATGTCATCGAATCATAGGTCTTGTCTCCACGGAAGCGAATTCTATTTAGAGGTTTGCTACTACTTTTAACCCCGAACCTCCGAGTTGCCATTTTATTTGAGTTCGGAACTTCCGAATCGGTGACTAACGAATTGCAACGTTGGTGCGTGATTTGTCCCGTAGAGACCAGGCGTTAGATTAGTCCTTAAGGAAAGGAATCGATGGCATTTGTCCCGAGGGCTCGACCTATGTCCAAAAGTTCTTCTGTGGTAAGATTTTTTAGGGAGTAATAGAAACAGAATTGAACTAGAAGCCCAGACCAACCACAGAGTTAAAAATAAAAAATTGCAAAAAATTAAAATTTTCATGTTAATCTTACTTTTTTTTGGGCTGACAAATCAGCGTAGTTGCTCAACATTTTTTTTTTTCATTTTTCCTCACAATGATTCTATGACCATCTCGAGCGGATTCCATGTGTTGTCTGATACAGGAGAGAAAAATAGGTTTAGTGTAGAGTAACTCTGTCTGACTTATTGTAAACTATTTTCCGTCCTTTCCGTTGCAAAACAATCAGATCAATAAACTGATTTAGTGGCTACATCATTCGATATAATATGGAACCCTTGGTTCAAATGTAAACAAACACAGAACATTGTTTCTGATTCGCGCCATTTCGCGCTCATTCGCGCCCTTTGCACCAGGGTGGTAAAATGCATCCAAGTGTTTCTTACATTCGAAATTTCTCGTATTTAATGAGTTTTTAATTAATTTATGACCGGTCAATGACTAAATTTTAATAAATTAGCAAAATTAACTGATGAAAAATTCGCACATGCGGTTATGTTAGTTTGTTTTGGTTTGAACCAAGTTTTGATAGGCATGATATCGAATGAAGTAGTCATAAATCAGTCTATTATGGCATGTGGACGGATTATGTCACGTGACTGGAAAACCCTAATTTTCAGAAATATCTGGGAAATTCTCGGGCATGCCGGGGATGTTTTTTTGTGTGCTCGTGGTTGTAGGATCCGAAATTTTTATTATTTTTTTTTCCACCATGCTCTAGTATTCCAAAATTTTTAATTTATCCAGTAAAGCCAAATTTCTCTGGAGAAAATGTTAATTTTGCCGGTGCAAAAGCGAGTTGCTTGAAAAAAATGGAAGTCATTTTCAGAATCTGCGTCAAGCTAAGAATGAGTTCAATACTATTAGGTAAACCAGCTCAAGTTCACAGTCTGTTCACTGATGTCATTCCTGGTCCGCTTTTCCTGAGTCCCTCTAAAGTTTTTCAGTTATTTGAATCAGAGCAACCACCGTTCCGTTGAGACCAGGTTTACTCCTGTAGCAGGATTTGATAAGAATTAGCTCTAGCAGCTTTCGACGTTGCAATTCGAGATACTCATTTTTTACTTCATATAGCCATCGATATGCGCTAGAGTCTAGCAAAGAGACTTTTACGGTTGAAAAAATCCTTCTACAGATTAGATGTATTCATCATTAAGCATCATTTGACATAAAGAAATCCAAAAATTTCAATTGCCTCTTTAGGAGCAATTCAAAGTTTGAAGACAAAAAACGAAGAATTCGAGGAACCCGCCATCACAGTTTGTAGGCGTTGTCCTCAGCTTTAGAGACGCAAACGGTTTGCAATAAAATTTTATAGCACAATTAATATTGAAAATTACAGTTTGCAATTTTGATCCAATTAATGTCCCTGAGAGTACCTATAAGAAATCGTTCTGTATCAAAGACAGAGGATCGACTCATCCAACTTCAAATCGGTTCTTTCGTCGCACCAGATAATTTCAGTTTCCATCTCTTTTACCTATTTCATCACATACCAAGAGTAGGAATTGAAAACCTGCCTATTAAGCCCGATTATGTGTACTTAACATTGTGCATGCTGTTTCTTGTTGTAAAGACCCCATATCGATGGCTAAAGTGCGGAATCGCGCACCTCCGTTTGCGACTTCGAAGACTTCCAGTCATACTTCATTTTTTCTTTGAAAACTAGCCGATGGAACTTCTTGAAAATTTCCTTGAATACTCTTCTCCATCAGCAGAATATTCGGTATGCATTTCAAGCGATAAAGTTTGCTTTTTTTCGTTTTGGAAAACTAAAATAGTACCGAAAATTGTGAAACATAGCAAAGAAGATACGTGCTTTTGTGCTTTGGTCACGCCTTTCTTTCCTTGGAATTTGTTTTTCAGAGTGTTTCTCGAGATTTTAGTCCGATTTTTATGGCCGGAATTATTACTCTTAGGCTACTGCCGATTGAATAAAAAATTGTCTTCTAATCTCTGCAACATCAAATGGCGTTTGCCGGGTTTAAAATTTATAAGATACTCGTGAAAAACAAAGAGCAGGCGTACTTTCCCGAAACGATACTTATTTGAAAGCGTGTCTGATTGTGATGTTTAAAAATAGACGATATTAGTTGTTGTCTGTGGCATTCAGCTTGAGAGCAGTCGGTGCATCCGTACTGATTGAGCTCACTCCGTCCTCCTTTCCCAAAGCCGGATGAAGGTCGCAGAATTCATGGGCATAAAGTCGTCTATCATACCTCACCGAGGACATATCCGACTCACTGATGATTTCAGGTGAACAATTTCGCTGAGAAGCTTCTAGATGCTCTCTACAATAACAATGGAGATGTTGCATGTGTGAGGAATTTGCGATTTGACTGTTGATTCTTACGTGAAAGTTCGCGAGAAACACGATGGTGCCACTGGTTTTCTCTGATATCAACTCCCAAGCTCAAAAAAAGCTCTCAACTTGAGGCCAAAATGGAGGGGATATCCCACCCTACCCTGAGAGTCCACGTCTACATCAAGACAAACTTTCCATGCAAAGATAGGGAGCAAATACATTAGCAGTGATGCCGTGTTTTCAGTTTTGGAGTCCCCAAATAAAGTGGCAGCCCTGTCAATGTATTTGCTCCCTATCTTTGCATGGAGAGTT